GAGTCAGTGAATGAGAAACAGTGATTGTGGTTGTAATATGTTCTTTTGGACACTAGGTGGTGGTGGTGAGCTTCTGGAGCTTCACTCTTAGGTCTGTATTAGTACTAAACATCAATCTATATGTATGTATGCTGGTGTAACTGGATTCATTTCATCCCTAGGGTTTATCGAAATGAGAGTCTTTGTTATAATTCTGTTTCCTTTTGTTTAGTTCTATAATTTATAATCTGCTAATACTCTGTATCAGATCGTAGAAAGTTGACACATTGACAGCTCATCTAACATGTTTTTGTCATGTAAATTTCCACAGTCTTAGCAATACACATTGATATATCCCATACATATTGCTGTAATAAAGCCTATTTGTTAAATTTTGATGAAGATTAAAGTTTTCCAGTGCGTGTGAGTTTTTAGTGAGCCCAGGATACAGTAAAATGAGTATGTCAAACAGCAACAACAACCCACACAAAGCAGATAACATGGGCATATATCTGAGACTTAACAACAGATTGAGAGCAGCTTTGTCTTCAGCTGGTAGCTTGTTGGTTTGGACAGCAGGTTGCACTGCTGCTGCATCAACACCATCTTTATTGTGTAAACCCAAAGAAAACTGTCCCAATTCTTCAGTCACTTCATCCTTATTGACAGGGCCAGTAAATATTGTATCATAAATATGGACTTGTAAGAGTGGAGTGATAATAAGGTAATATTGATGGTGTGGATCTGGATGTTTCTGGGATTATGAGCCAATGCAGTATACTTCAATTCTTGCTCTTTAGGGCTGTGCTGAAGTTGAGTACTGGAGCCTGCAGTGTTGTACTCAGCTGAGTTGGCGGAGAAAATTTTTGTGAGCACCAGTAGATATCATCCAGTCTACTGATAACTCTGATGTTCAGTTCGAAACTAGTATTGTTTTAGCGCTACCTACCGAGCATCAAATAGCCTAAAGCCCAATTATAATAACTACTCAAGAAAATAGTTCAATGGTGTTCATTATGTCTTTAGTTTGTGATCATGATTTTAGTTGTTCTTTTATCTCAGACATGTTAGGATGTTACATACCTTGACATGTTTCGGCGGAAACTTCCGGCTTCCTCAGAAGTGTCACTTGGTGGTGGTTGTGACGCGTCTTTATGAGCTGATCTGTCAATCGGACGATATTAGGGAGGCGTGACCGTCCTGTCAGAAGCGGGGCCCAGGGACAATGAATCGGCTGATTGACAGATGAGCTGATAAAGACGCGTCACAACCACCACCAAGTGACACTTCTAAGGAAGGCGGAAGTTTCCTCCGCAACATGTCAAGGTGTGTAACATCCTAACATGTCTGAGATAAAAGAACAACTAAAGTCATTACTTAAGAAAATTAAAGAGACTAAAGAGACAAGTTTTTTTTTCTCCCAGGAGTTGGTAGAGGCAAAAACACAATTAGAGGGAGCTAACGTGTTATGCAAATACACAAGTAAAATCACCCTTAAGTAGGCCTATTCAATTTTGGTGCAAATGATGTGTGGGTAAATGTCAGGTTCAATTGATTCAGACACTCAGGAGGAGATTCTGGATTCCAGGGTGTTGGCTACATGATGGCATTCTTTTAGATCAAACAATGTTGTTTTGATGAGAATCATTCCAAGAAACTGTCTGCACCTGCTTTCTTGCCCTTTCTCGTTCCAGTGACAGAAAAGCTTTGTCACAACGAACCATGATTGGTATTTTTCTGAGTCGAGAAAATGATAAGAAACTCAAAGAGCATGTGTTGTCTCTTTGAATCTCAAGATTTTTTCCAAAGTGTGAAATGCTTTACTTTACTTTATTTGGATAGGGACAGTGCACATTAATGAACATTGATCATGCATCTCTGTAAACATGCGGATTGTAGCAAAGCTGTTAATTTGCATCTGTAGTCCCTTATAAATAAATAAATAAATAAATAAATAAATAGAAAGAATACAAATGGAGGAGACAGCAGATAAATAGATAAAATACAAATAGAGAAGACAATAAACACAAGACAGCAGTTTGTGGTGGTGTAATGGTGTGGGGGAGATTTTCTTGGCACACTTTGGGCCCCTTAGAACCAACTGAGCATTGTTTAAACACCACAGCCTACCTGAGTATTGTTGCTGACTGTGCCCATCCCTTTATGACCACAGTGTACCCATCTTCTGATGACTACTTCCAGCAGGATAACGCACCATGTCACAAAGCTCAAATCATCTCAGACTGGATTCTTGAACATGACAGTAAGTTCACTGTACTCCAATGGCCTCCACAGTCACCAGATCTCAGTCCAATAGAGCACTTTTGGGATGTGATGCAATGGGAGAATCGCACTGTGGATGTGCAGCAGACACATCTGCAGAAACTGCGTGATACTATCAAGTCAGTATGGACCAAAATCTCTGAGGAATGTTTCCAACACTTTGTTAAATCTGTGCCACAAAGAATTAAGGCAGTTTTGAAGGAAAAAGGGGGTCCAACCAGGTACTAGCATGATGTACCTAATAAAGTGGCTGATGAGTGTATGTTTCCCATACCAAAAAAACCCCCTTCAAATTAAATTGAATTAAACCCTGCCATATTAGAAGGCAGTGTGCCTGTGTACCACAAAAGTGTGTTGAATGCACCACATTTCTGTGTAAATAGATAAGTTGCTATGTTTTGTCCGGGCTGAACTCAGCCCTGGTCTGCAGTTGCCAAAAGGCTCTATCATACAACATGGGGATGATTGATTTGTTTCATTGAGGAATCCACAGTTGGCCTCGGGTCAGAATATATTTTACACAAAAAAATAAAGAGTGAGAATAACAACTCTGCAATTATGGAAAAGGTCCTTGATAAATGATCTTAATACATTGCTTTCTATATGAAAAAGTTTGTTTGTATATCAGTTGACATCCATCCCAACTAACCCAAATAGTTCTATGAGGTGGAGCACACCCAAGTATTTTATTTTTTCTGCATCCCAGTTTAGTTTATAATGTTCACATTTTATCTCATTTGGTTTATATCCTGAGACCATACTAAAATCATTGATTGTTTTCATTAATTTGTATACAGATTCTCCTGGTGATGTAAGATAGACAATTATGTTATCTGCATAAAATGCTAGTTTATGTGTTTCTTGATCTACTTGAATTCCTTTTATATCTGTAATTTTTCTATCTGCCTGTGAAAATACTTCAATATATATGGCAAATAAAATTGGAGACAGAGGGTCTCCGTGCCTTGTTCCTCTTTGTATTGTGAACCTTCTTGACAGCGTTCCATTTGGTTTTACTCTTGAGGTTGGGTTTCTGTAAATTGCTTGTAGCCATAATCTACATATTTTATCAAAACCAAAACTAGACAAGTTCTCCATCATAAAAGGCCAGCTTATTGAATCAAAAGCCTTCTGTCTCTAACATTATTAACAGAAGGTCCTGACTTTGTTTTAATAAAATCAAACTGATCTGGGACAGTTATATCTGTAATGATATTTTTTAATCTTATGGCTAATATTGCTGATATTATTTTATAGTCAGTATTTAGTAGAGATATTGGCCTATATGAGGAACATGTTGTAGCATCCTTTCCTCCTTTATAATTAGCATCATGATAGAAGATTGCCATGTTTGAGCCCACCTTCCTGTGTCTAATGCATAATTGTATGCTTTAAACAGTAAAGGAATCAGTTGGCTCCTAAAGGTTTTATAAAATTCAGGTTTATAACATTGTGTGGCAGACACAAGCATGAATTGAAAATGTATATGCAAAACTTTTAAAATTGATAATGAATGTGTCCTCCTTTGAGAAATGACACAAGACCCCGACTTTAAGGCACATAAACATGACAACCTCCTGGTCACCTGGGCAAGTAAAGGTCTGATAACATTCTGCCATTTGCTCACAAACATTTCAATAAACTAATTTGAAATTATTGCAACTAAATATAAATTGGACCACAAACACTTTTAAGTAATTACAGGTAAGAAATCACCAAATAAAATATTTAGAAGAGGACAATTTTTAAAATGAGTTAATTCAATATCTCATACAAAATGGAAGCCATCTGAAAAGAAATGTATCAAATATTTATAGAATACTACACAGACTTTCAATTATAGATGATAGACTAAAAGAGAAATGGGAAAATGAATTGCAAATTAGTATAACAGCTGAGGACTGGAAAAGCACATAAGAGAAAAATGTCATATCAATCCAAATATTGGAGAGAGTTTGCTTGGAAAGTGAACATGAGTTATTTTTTATCCCCAAATAAATATGGGAAATGTGTCTCCTCAGCGAGAACTAACTGCTGGAGAGGATGTGGAGAACTAACAACAAACTATACTCACACCTTTTTCCTCTGCCCAGTGTTCAAGCCACTTTGGGACGAGGTTCAGAAAACTATACAATTCATATTTGATTTCCAAACAAGTTGCAAAATTTGGCCATAAATCAATGAGGGTTTGTTCAACATCAACAATGTCGGTGGGCTTTTTTTAACTAAGCTATAAATATAAATATATGGCCAATGAGCCACCATTGAATGTTTTCAAAATAATTGAAAAAATGTAGACAATCAGCTAAAATGGATCTACATTACTTGTTGAAGTTAAAAAGAAAGGCATGTTACAGTAGTGTGCTGCTTGAAAAGGGGGCAGGTAGTATTCTCATTGAAGCTAAACTGAAATTATCTTGTTGCTGTTTTTGTTTTAGATGTAGTGGTTATGAAATCAACTTAGAAACTTCACATCTAAACTCTTTCTATTAATTGACCAAATAGCAGTTTAATCGCTGTGAAGAGCAGAACCACATTAATCTAGCTACAACATAGTAGTTCATCCCTGATGAGTTTGCACCCCTGTAGATGCTAAATGGGTGTTATTAACATAACTTATACAATATCAGCAGTAATAATGATTATAATATAAGAAGATGTATCATCTCAATTAATTTAACAATAACATGAAACACAAAACACAATTTTTCAGTCATAGATTTTTTTAATTTCCCTCTCATTTTTCAAGAATAACACTAAACATTACTTTTTCAGGGCATACATGTTACACCAATAAGTGAAAATCAAAGTGTACAATTAAATTATTACAAACCAAATCATCATGATTATACATATTATAAAATCAGGAACAGGTTTATGTGTACCAGAGACAAAAAAAATATTTTTTACTTTATTTGTAGCAAATCACAGCCTGTACTACAACTGTTGTTTATCTTTAAAAGTCTGAGTCTGAGAAACATTCTTAAAATCTACAACATATATATGTTTTTACTGATAAATCTGAGTCAATACCTAATAACTACCTGTATATTTAGTGTAAGTGTGTGTTATATTCCATATTGTCACATCTGATCTGATTGGATATTGATGATGTGTTTAGACTGTTGATAATGGCCATCTACTCTCTTCTTAGAATAGAGATAAACAATCTGATACGCTGGATCAGAGCACCAATAAAGGTATATTGGACAGCACATGCATTTCCCTTTGACTTTTGTTGTTTTGCCTGTACTTCTTGATACATGGCATCTGTGTAGTATGCTCCCCCGTTTGCTTTGAACATGTTGTCGATCATCTTTATCAGCTCCACCACTTGACTTCTGTCTTTACTGGTGTTTTCAAAGACATGCAACCTGTTTCCACAGCGCTGAACGAGTTGTCTAACCTCTGGCTTGCCCTCACGTAGATATTGATGTATGGTCTTGTTTTTGAGTTCACCACCACGGGTAAACAGCACGATCATGTACTGGTCAGCTTTTGGACCAAACAGCTTTTGCAGGGCTTCTACAGAGTTTTTCTCTGCATTGGTGAATCGACCAAGTTCGATGACCAGCAGGAACACATGAGGTCCAGGACATGAGACTTCAACACATCTCACAATTTCATTTTTGATGAAGTCCTCGGATTTCTCAGTGTCCAGGAGCCCTGGTGTGTCTATCACACTAACCACTCTGTTGCCCCAACGTGTCACAGCTTTTTCACAGACCTGAGTTACTGATGATAAACTGGGACTGGATGCGAACCTTTCCTGTCCAAGAATAGTGTTTCCAACAGCACTCTTGCCCACACCAGTTTTTCCAATCATCACGATTCTTAAATCAGGACCTGGAATGCAATTCATAACTTCTGGTAAAGCTGTCTGAAGTGTGAGTCATGAGTCATCAATTTGATGTACACATTAAATTAAATTAAATGAGTTACATACATAGAGTGGATGCAAACAAAAACTTTTGTTTTGAGTCTCACCTGCAGGAAGTAAAGCCATCTTCTCTCAGCAGCGTTGTCTCAACAAAGATGACAAAGATGAATGTTAAGGCTTTAAGGCTGTTGTTCATTTATATGGTGGCTACATAGCTGACACGCCTCACAGTATTTGCATAACAGGTCCATATAAAACAGGAAGACAGCAGCACAGTCTACAGACACCACACAGCCTGTCTGTACTTTGCTGCGCTGGATCCATGAACCATGTCCCACAGTAAGTTTTGCAGTAATAATTTTCTATCATGCATGTTTGTTCTCTCTGCTTTGCTTTAGTAAGACACCATTGTTGAAGTAAACCTCTTTTGGATAATCATGTGAAAATGTAATCATCAAATGTATTTTCTATTGCATTTATCAGGTAAAAAAAAAGACATTTTGTTTGTTGTTTTCACAGATAAGATTTCAGTCGTCATTCTGGGACATGGAGATCGTTTGAAGAAAGCTCTTATAACCATCATTTTAGGGAAAGATTTATCTCAAGTATCCAAAAGAAATGTTCTGAAAAGTACTGAGATATATGAAAATAACTCATATGAGGTCACATGTGCACCAGACATTCACACATCATGTGTGGAAATAAGAGAGCTATTTGCTATTAATCATCACCCTCACATGTCTTTGATGGTGGTAGAGGATGGGTTTTCAACAGAGGAGGTATGGCAACAGATAGAAATGCTGCACCGTATAACTGGAAGACCCACAGAGGAGTTCAGAGTGGTGCTGCCCCTCAAAAGTAAACACCCAGCTTCTTACCCATTCAAATGTCACACCATCAAGCAGGTTTTCAGCAAACTGAGCCAACTGGCTGAAGATAGACATTTCACGTCAACAGATAAGAGGTAAAAGTGAAAGGAAAGGCATGCAGATGCAAGATTGAATATAACTTTAAGTGAAAAAGATAAAATCTTGGACAAATTATCTGATACGCCATACACTGGCACATGTAGAATATGTGGTAAATTTTATTCACAAGGGGGCTGCAATTGTTTGTATACTATTACATCATAAATTGACTAACTCTGTCCCTACATTATAGGTATACTGACCATCCTGAGCCAGAAAGGTCAACACAAGGCACTGAGATGGAGGTGACAGGTAAGCCACAATCTGTGTAGTGATTAGTGAGGGCAAATTAATTAAAACAGAACCAAAGGGTTTTATAGCAACTTACAGAAGCTCTTGTTTGGCCTTTTTATTCAGGTGGCACAAATAGCAAAGGACATTTCACTGATTCCGAGATGAGTTTCAAACGTAAGAAAAATGTGTAGTTTTTGTTTTAATACAAGCAGTCACACTTGCAAGCTATGAAAACAGATAATTGTAAAGTTTTTGTCCTACATTAATGCAGGAAACCACTCTGGCACCAAAGTGAACCTTGTTCTGCTGGGAATGGCCGGGACTGGAAAGAGTGCAAGTGGGAACACAATCCTGGGAAAGCCACTGTTCAAGTCAACAACCAGTTCAAGTCTGACTACCACAGAGTGCCAAGAGGCAGAAACAGAGATAGGTGGTAGACATGTTCGTGTCATTGATACTCCAGACATCTTTGATGATGAGATCAAATCATCAGTTAAGGACAAACATGTGAGAAAGTGCAAAGAGCTCTGTAAGGAGGAGCCTTGTGTTTACTTACTTGTGATGCGGACAAGCAGATTTATACAAGATGAGAGGGACATATTAAAAAAGTTAGAAAAAGCTTTTGGCAGCAGAGCTCAAGAACAAACAGTCATCCTGTTTACTCGTGGAGAAGACCTTTGGCGTGCAAAAATTAGCTTTGAGAATTTTTTGCATGACTGCCAGCCTGATCTCAAGAAAATAGTTGAGAAGTGTGGCAGAAGGTGTGTTCTTTTTGAGAACAGTGACTCACGTTCGCCTCAAGTGGAAGAGCTGATGAAGACAGTGAGCAGGATGTTCAAATAAAATAATAACTGGTGTGTATCAGACCAGATCAATTAAGTGCTGGCTGATTTCTTTCCTTAAAAGTATAAATAGGCTTCATTGTGAAATGATTTAATACTTTGAACTAGTTGATTATACAGTTATGATGCATTTAATCAGAGATTGATATAATATTCAGAGTATTTTCATTTGGAATTGGTGCTTGGATTCTGTGAAGTCAACCGAACACATCTTTATACTACTTAAAAAAAAAAGCTCCCTGTTTCTCACTTCATCGTTTGTAAACTGTGATGGCATAAACTTTACATTTATCAATAAAATCCAGTTGTGTTGTAAACTTAGTGTCTCTTGTCTTGGGTAATTGCACCACACAGATCCTGTCAGACACAGTGATTTAAATACATACACTTCTCAGGGCTTCACTTGCACAGGCACCATAAACAGGTACATGTATAGATTAAGAGGACATGAAGAAATGTTACCCTAAATGTTGTGACAGAGCTGATTATTTTCTGCCAAATAAATTTAAGATAAATAAATTAACATTAACGTATTTGGAAAGTTTAAAAGTGTTGGAATGATATATTTTGAGTGTCTGTTTTTTTCTCTTGGAATATGTTAATGGGAATCTATAACTAACCAAAAATGTGACATTTAGACTGAATCTGGTGTAAAAAGTTTTAGCATGAAACAAAATGTGTTAGCCTCTCCATCGCACCATGTTTCAAGTCTTTATCATACGGGGTCAGTTTGTGTCAGTAATTGGTCACAATGCTAAATATTTTTCCCCTTTTAACTTTTCATTTTCCTTCTGTATGCTGTATTTTGACTTTGTAGAATCATCAGTCAGCCTCAACCGAACAGTAAACTATAACTGATGAAATATTACCATCTACTGGACATTTGATGTATAAGTTCCTCATGCCACAAGGAAAGAATCAGAAAGTAGCTACAAATACAGGTGCTGGTCATATAATTAGAATATCATGAAAAAGTTGATTTATTTCAGTAATTCCATTCAAAAAGTGAAACTTGTATAATGTATACATTCATTCCACACAGACTGATATATTTCAAGTGTTAATTTCTTTTAATTTTGATGATTATAACTGACAACTAATGAAAACCCCAAATTCAGTATCTCAGAAAATTAGAATATTGTGAAAAGGTGCAATATTGAAGACACCTGGTGCCACTCTAATCAGCTAATTAACTCAAAACACCTGCAAAGGCCTTTAAACGGTCTTTCAGTCTAGTTGTGTAGGCTACACAATCATGGGGAAGACTGCTGACTTGACAGTTGTCCAAAAGACGACCATTGACACCTTGCACAAGGAGGGCAAGACACAAAAGGTCATTGCTAAAGAGGCTGGCTGTTCACAGAGCTCTGTGTCCAAGCACATTAATAGAGAGGCGAAGGGAAGGAAAAGATGTGGTAGAAAAAAGTGTACAAGCAATAGGGACAACCACACCCTGGAGAGGATTGTGAAACAAAACCCATTCAAAAATGTGGGGGACATTCACAAAGAATGGACTGCAGCTGGAGTCAGTGCTTCAAGAACCACCACGCACCGACGTATGCAAGACATGGGTTTCAGCTGTCGCATTCCTTGTGTCAAGCCACTCTTGAACAAGAGACAGCGTCAGAAGCGTCTTGCCTGGGCTAAAGACAAAAAGGACTGGACTGCTGCTGAGTGGTCCAAAGTTATGTTCTCTGATGAAAATAAATTTTGCATTTCCTTTGGAAATCAAGGTCCCAGAGTCTGGAGGAAGAGAGGAGAGGCACAGAATCCACGTTGCTTGAGGTCCAGTGTAAAATTTCCACAGTCAGTGATGGTTTGGGGTGCCATGTCATCTGCTGGTGTTGGTCCACTGTGTTTTCTGAGGTCCAAGGTCAATGCAGCCGTCTACCAGGAAGTTTTAGAGCACTTCATGCTTCCTGCTGCTGACCAACTTTATGGAGATGCAGATTTCATTTTCCAACAGGACTTGGCACCTGCACACAGTGCCAAAGCTACCAGTACCTGGTTTAAGGACCATGGTATCCCTGTTCTTGATTGGCCAGCAAACTCGCCTGACCTTAACCCCATAGAAAATCTATGGGGTATTGTGAAAAGGAAGATGCGACACGCCAGACCCAACAATGCAGAAGAGCTGAAGGCCACTATCAGAGCAACCTGGGCTCTCATACCACCTGAGCAGTGCCACAGACTGATCGACTCCATGCCATGCCGCATTGCTGCAGTAATTCAGGCAAAAGGAGCCCCAACTAAGTATTGAGTGCTGTACATGCTCATACTTTTCATGTTCATACTTTTCAGTTGGCCAACATTTCTAAAAATCCTTTTTTGTATTGGTCTTCAGTAATATTCTAATTTTCTGAGATACTGAATTTGGGATTTTCATTAGTTGTCAGTTATAATCATCAAAATTAAAAGAAAAAAACATTTGAAATATATCAATCTGTGTGGAATGAATGAATACAATATACAAGTTTCACTTTTTGAATGGAATTACTGAAATAAATCAACTTTTAGATGATATTCTAATTATATGACCAGCACCTGTACATCTGACAAATAAATGTAGAGAGATACAAAGGTACAATAGGAGTAGAAGTATAAAGTAGCATAAAATATAAAATACCTTGAACTTCTACAGTTCTTAAGTAAATGCCCTCAGTGACTCTTCACTACTGATATGTGCAACATACTTTTATGTTCGGGTATGTTAACAAAAAATAATGGAAATGCGTGGAGATATTCTGGTGTAATATTTTGAGTTGTGTGTGTATTTCTAACATTTTCGCAAAACTGTGTATTTGATGAACGATTCTCCTATTTGTTAAATCAACCTTTCGGTCTAAACATTTAAAGCATGTTTAATATCAAGCTGATTATATAGATTTATATTCTTGTTTCTCATCGTGTTAAATTACATCTAACTTTTTTTTAGGAAAGATTGAGGGATCAGAAAAATAAAGAATGATACTAATGTCACTGGCATGGTTTGATTTATTTACTGGATTGTATTAGATTTATTTTTTCTATTCTGAACTTGAAATCTTGTTGTTTGACTTTGTTTGTTACTAACTGTTACCATTTAGTTTTCAGTATTGCTATTTTATTACCTAT